TTTCTTTCTTTCTTTCTTTCTTTCTTTCTAATCTTTTCAGTACTACCTAGCCCTTGTTTAATGTATGCACTATCCTCCTTCCTTCTTTCTTTCTTCCCTATCTCAAGTTCTCCCTTTATCCCTTCCTTATAGTTTTGCTATAGGACATGTGTGCTCATGAGAGAGAGAGAGGAGAGAGAGAGAAATCATCCTCTGGGGGGAGGGGCAGTGATGGCTATGCTGCAATCCCTTCTCCTCCATTTTCTTCTTAGGATTTTGGACATGTGCACATGGGTCCCCCCCCCGCCCCAGCCAATGGCTCCAGGGCTTGAACTGTGCAGTGGACCACATGAGATACAGCCACTTCAACCACCATGACCTGCTGGCCTTGCACTATTTTCTCTCTCTCTCTCTTTAAATTTATTTTATTTATTTATTTTTAATTTGACCAGAAAGAAACAGAGGGTGAGAGTGGGAGAGAGGAAGTGAGAAAACAAGCCACCAGATTCAGGACTTGAACTCTGGTCAACCATGTGGGAATGTCCAGCGACTTAACCACCACACTACCTGCTGGTCCCCTTTTTATTCTCTTAAGGAAGTATTTAATTGTATTTATTTATTTATTTATTTTATTTGCTATAAAACACATATGCTCACGAGAGAGGGAAAAAGAGATAAAGCAAGCCACCAGGCCTGGGACTCGAACTGTGGTTGGCCACGTAGGAATCTAGCACCTAAACCACAATACCACCTGCTAACCCCAGCACTATTTTCTTTCATTCTTATATTTTTTTGTTTTTATGATTTCTTATTCACATTTCATTGCTATAGATCTTTATGGCACACAACACAGTTATTCAAAGCATGCATGCAGTGTGTGATAATCAAATCAAGGACATTACCACATACATCTTCTTTCTTTTTTTAAAAATAATTATTGGGAACCAGCAGTTGGCGTAATGGCTATGTCACTGGACTCCCACGTAGTTGACCGCGGTTCGCGTCTTGGACCCGGTGGCTTAAATCTCACACCGGGCGCGTGTGCGTGCGTGCCCAAGATCCCGAGAGGAGAATGGAGGAGAAGGGATTGCGGCGTGACCATCTCCCCTGGGGGGTGATTTCTCGCTTTCTGTCTCTCTGTCTCTCTCTGTCTGTCTGGCGAGTGCACGTGTCCTATAGCGAAAACCTCTCCAAAAAAATTAATTTTTTAGTTATTCATTCACATATTTTAATTTGACCAGAGACAGAGAGAGAGAGAGAAAGCAAGCCACCAGGTCCAGGACTTGAACTGTGGTTGGCCATGTGGGAGTGTCCAGTGCCCCAACCACCATGCCACCTGCTGGTCCCTGCACATACATCATTTTCAACAGTACATTCTTGTGTCTGTTAAATGCTTTTCTCCTGAGTCCCTCCCATCCATCCCCCACTATCCACACCCAATGAAGAGACAACCCATAGAATAGGAAAAAATATAAACTATGCTTCAGGTAATAGACTGATAGCTAGAATATATAGAGAACTCAAGCAGAGCTCACCTGCAGAAAAATAATCCAATTTTAAAATGGGCAAAGAAGCTGAACAGACAACTCTCAAAAGAAGGATGCAGGGACCAGCAGTTGGCATAACGGCTGTTGCTGGACTCTCATGTAGTTGATCGTGGTTCGAGTCCCAGGCACATGTGCGTGCGTGCCCAAGATCCCAAGAGGAGAATGGAGGAGAAGGGATTGCGGTGTGACCATCCCCCCTGGGGGGTGATTGCTCCCTTTCTGTCTCTCTCTTTCTGGCAAGCACACATGCCCTATAGCAAAAACCTCTCCAAAAAAAGAGGATGCAGGGACTTACAGAACATCTTCTAACATCTCTAAGAACGCTAAAACTTTTCTAAAATTATTTTGATTTCCATTTCTATTTCCTTGATTCTATTAATTTACTGTGGTTCTCCTTTCAAAATGGACACTTTTCTCAAATAGCAGGTGATTCTTGGCTATCCTTTCTGATTCAGCCATGAAGCACTGAAGAGGTAACATGAACCTCTGAAACCGGGTAGGCCCACCTATGATCGGGTGGTGGCCAGCAGTTTTGAACTCTCCATTGTTACTGTCTACAGTTTTGTCTCTCCATCCTGCCCTCACCCAACTGGGTCTTCTCCAGAAAAGAATCCTTTACTTCCACACCTTACTGCCCACATTTTGGGAGCTGAGCAGCACAAGTAGCTGGGTCTTAACATTAAACCAGTGGATTCTTATTTAACCCCCAATTTTCATCAAAGGTCTCCAGAGCCACTTCATTCCAGCCTCCCACCCGATGGGGAGGAGCACCTTACTTATCTGGCAGCTTAGGAAATAATTTACCTCTCCTCCTGGGGGGGGGGCGCTCTCCTTGCTATTACATGAACTTTGACCAACTTCCATGGCTTCAGGTCTCCTCTCTACTTCCCATAGGAACTTCTCATTTCTGCATCCTTCCAGGGTTGGCAATA